ACACGAGTTTTGGCCAACGCTGTCGCCATGGAAGTGCAATTCCACAGATGGGAAGGTGGAGGAGTAGTGGGTTCTCGGAATTCCGAAGTGATCTCAAAGATGCTGAGGGCAATCTTGTTTCCCTTATCGATGCAATTCTTGACGGCATCAAACGGCGTATTGACGTGGGTGCCGCTCAGAATATTCGACGCCTGAACAGTTGGTTGCAGGTATTGGTTTTGAATTGCCTGATTGACAGAATAATCCCTCTTATAACGGCGTGCCCATTGCAAGGTGTCCGAGTACAAATCCACCGAGCCAGAAGCAACGCAAAGGGACAATGCCGACAGCACCCAGAACTGGCGGTCGGTTGCCTCTCGGCTTTTGGCCGCCGTCTCCATGCGACGCTTGAGCTCTTTTTCAACCTCGGGGAGGATAGATAGACGCCTATCACCAAGAATCTCTGGATCCCTTTGGAGAAGATGACAGCGCAGGACAAGTAAGTCGATCCAAGCTCCGCTTGGGACAGAAGCCGTGGATAGAACCCCTTTCCCGCAGGCTATACGAACCTCTGTATGTCGTGCTTCTTCCAGTAGATCCAAGAAGTCAAGAGCACCTTGAGCGGGGATCATGGTGAAGAGCTCACACGGAATGGGCGCGTTGAGCAACTTGAGCTTGGTGACGGCGGCCAGGTTCTGCGTAGAGGATGGATAGGTGAGATCAAAGCCGTGCTGCTTCTGGTGGCGCAGAATATGTTTGAGCAGATGGAATCTGTCTTGAAACCTCGCTGCGCGCAGAAAGTTCCGAATGTCACTCATGTGTAGTGTTCCGACCCTTTCCTTCAGTAGACACTCGAGAATACCGCTGGCGATGGTCCAGATGCTAGCCTTTCGCGCAACATTCCCGTCAATGTCGGCATACGTCCACCACTCTACGGCAAACCAAGCCATCGAGTAAGGGCTAAAGTCGTTCAGACGGGTGGCCATCTCGGGCCATCGTGTCAGAGCAGCATGAATCAAGGTCCACGTCTCGTGTCTAAATTCTCGAGTGGAACGACGGTGACGGGAACCAGATCGCTGAATGAACTTGGCCAAGGGAAGAATGACTTTAGATGCCACATTTTGACTGTCAACCTTGAGCGCTTTGGGGCACTCGACAAGTGACTTTAAGACGTGCTTTGTGAACTTTCTGTCGCGTTCCATGTAGCACTCAAGCCAACCCACCCGCAGCACCTTGTCATCAGGTAGCATCAACAACTCGTCGAGTTCTTGCTGACGCCATTCATCGCCATGGGCAGTGAGGAAGCACTGAATTTCTCTTTTACCCCACTTCCCTGCCCTGGCATCATACCACTTTTTCGTCAGCTCGGGTGTGCAACCCCTGACGAGGCGCATGTATGCCGGTTGAAGGGGACGAGGGTCACGCGCGTCAGACTCGGGAGCTGAGACGTCGTCGAGAGGACAGAGCAAGTTGAGCAGCTCGGAAAGGGCATGTTGTCGTCTCTGGTGTCTTGCCAATCCAAGTGCGCGGCAAAGGTCGTGCACGTGGCACACGGCCAGGTCTCGCGCCAGGCTCGCAATGCCTCGGGCGCCGCCGAGAGCGTCCCAGACCTCAGTGAAAGTGTCATCGTGCACGGCGAGGGAGATTTGACGAATGGCCTGGGACCGAATGTAGAAACTTTGGGTTTGACGAAGACCGGCAGCTAGGATGCCAAAGTCTTTGGCGCAGTCGAAATAGGTACGAAAGTAATCTGAACTGAGGGAGCCATCGAAAATGGCTTGGAAGAGGGAGGTTGTCAATGGGGTGAGGTCGCCTTTGCGTGCTTCGATTTCTTGTTTGAGACGGGTCAGATCTTTTTGGCCGCTTTCTCGAAGCTCTTTGACAAGAGAATGATGGATCATTGTCCCAGCCTGGCGAAGTATGATCGATGTGTGTCGCGAATATAATCCAAATATGAATCCGGTGGTAAGTCGTGTCTGGCTTGAGGGAGGTTGTTCCCGGATCGAGTGGTTGATTGACCGGGAGCGGGTGTCTGCGATTTTTGCAGGTGGATGTGGGTGCTGATGAGTACGGATACTGATTGATTTTTGGCAGTTGACTCAATCGGCCAACAAAGATAATGATTACGAGAACTGTTGGGTCAGCTTTTGCTGCTCGGCGTCCCAGAATAGGAAGGCGCGGTGAAGCAATTCATGCAGGTTCAGATATCCACTTCAGGCACCAGAATAACCACTATTGACACGCCCATTAATTTTCATATATGCCTGGTTTATATGGAAAAGGCATTCCTGATAATAAAAAGGACTTCTTATCAATTAACACCCATGCCTTAAATGAGAAATGTATATTTATAAACAAATACTCATTCCTTGAACAATAAAGGCGTTTTTTAAAAACAAATAGGTGTTTTCAATTCCAAATAAGCATGATATTCAAGATCAAATATCGTACCAACAAAACGAACCACGCCCAAAGAGAACCATATGTGCACCAATACAAATAATTAAATGCCAAATGAGTGGTGTTTTATATACATGAATTCCCAGCTTAAACAATACCTCGCGAATCAAACCACTCCCCAACATCGTCACATTCCTCCTTTTTCCACTCCCCAGTAAACCCATCATCTAGTTCAAGATAGAGATATCTGAGCTTCGGACAAAGTCTAGTTATTGCGTCCCTCGCCGAGGCCGCCGTGGTTTTCGGGGGTATTTCCTCAAGGTTAAAGTAATGCTCCCGAAAATAGTCGTCACCGAGGTTACATTGGAAACTTTCCAGGTTTGGCATCAGACGAAACAGGGTTTTAAAGTCGTGGTGTGTTAATAAGCAGTAATCGATTTTGGCGCTTTTGACGCGCTCGAGACAAAAGTCAAAGTCGACCTCCAATCTACACTCGACCATTCCGGTAAATTGAACGCTTTCACAATTTTTCTGAGCCGCCCTCAGCAGCGGGGTGACGATCGTGCCCCCAATTTCGCGAGCTTCGGGGTTAAATTCCCCCTCAACCAAGGCGTATTCGAAGTGTATGTGTCTCAACGCAGGGAGAGAAGTTGGTGCCGGGCAAAGCTGAAATGTGGTCGAGGCATCGTAACGCGAAAGTTCAATCGTCAGGGATTCCAGGCTGGTGCTGCAAAAGCTGAGCAGTATGTCCAGATCAAAACAGGGGACAATCCTTTGGTCGGTCCATTCGCACCCATCCCTACTAGACTCCCACCGAGCACTTTCAGCCGTGAAGACTGTGTATTCTGCTGGATCTGTGGATTCCAGGGGGTAATGCTTGTCCGGTTTCATGTATTGGTGATAAAGCGCGGCCACCTCGACTGGAAACAGCTGTGGAGCATAATCCCAGGATTCCCATTCTGTCCCAGAAAAGTTCAGTGTCTTTACCAGCTTTCTAAGGTCTTTCCGGGCGATGAGCGTCCTGACGAGTAGGGGCCAATTTTCTCCGTCGTCAGTAGATTGACTCTCTTTGTATTCCCCGAGGGGCGCCCGGTAGAGCCGCGGGGTTGTCAAGGCGTGTAGTAGTTTGGATGTACGGCTGATATTGTCAAGGGTACGTCTATTATGGCGTTTCCAGTCATCGAGAGGGAGCTCGTCGAGAATGTGTTCGACTATCTCGACGGGAAGATCATTGAATGACACCATGGTTGGTGGATGCAGCGGTGAAAAAGAAACGAACTTGAATCCACAGATGATGAGAGACTTTATCTTTTCCCAGCAGTAAGCGCTAACCCATCTTAGGTATCGCCCAACCCTACAAAGAGTTACACTCCGATCCTTGAACGTTCGTTGACAAAATACTTCAACCCGAACTTCATACATATCAGCTCAACAACCACATAAAAATATCACAACAAAACCGTTTGGTAGAAAATATCTCACATAAAGGCAAATTCAAGTTCCTGGTTGTTTGCTGCAGACATTTTAAGTTATCTCAAAAAAAAGACAAAGATATATTCTCTACTGTCAGAACACACATCATAATTCCATAAAACAGGTCACTCTAAATATCACACGAACAAAAACAAGTTTTTACTAAAAAAAAATTCAACTTTCAAATTCAAATCTTCCACTTCAAATCTCAACCTCTCCCCACAACTCTCTCCTTATCTCGCTGCATCTACTTTTCACTGTCCCTCTTCATCCCCCTTCCCTTCAGCAAAAGCATCCTCCAACTCCCTAGCCAGCTGTTTTTCTTCCTCGGTCAACTCTGGATCAACAGTCGGATCCTCCTCAACCTCGTTAGAAGCATCACCACCCTCTTTTCCTTCGTTATCTTCAAATACAGATTTATTAGGAGACTTGGGCTCTTTAAACAACTTGATCGTATCAAGTGTTTCGCCTGCCATTTCCCAGAGAGATTGTAGTTCGTCCTTGTTATTGGTAGAAGCCTGGTTGGACGACTGGTTATTGTTGTTGTTTGAAGAAAACATTTTGATGTTGTTTTTGGTTGATGAACTTCTGAGAGGTTTTCCTTGGGGTGGGACGATGATTGTTGTGAGATGAGATGAGTATGATGAGATGAAAAGACGGTATTTGGAAGTTACGAAAGGAGAGTTATATATATATATATATATATATATATCATCATGGTGGTGATGATGTTGTGCGAGGGAAAAAAACAGACAATGCATTCTGAAAAAGTAATAATAGCATTGTCTTCAACTGTGGCGGTCCATTGCTGGTCGATTACAATAGCATTGTATACTTACTCGACTGTGAAGTTAACAGTTTTAGACAATGGCATTGTGTATCTATTGAGTGAAACAAAGAAGCTATTCATGAATAATTCATAAACAATGAAATGCACTTGCATAAAACCCAAATTAGGAAATTTCCCGTGTATAAGTCACGTTTTGCTGATGAGTGGCGTGCAACCGAAATTGATCAACGTAACTTTCTACATGGTTAACCCTGTCCTTCCTAACCAAATTAACTAAAAAAAAAATCTCTACGACCAAGAAATCACAATCTTCAAATATAAGAATGTTTTGTGAGAATAAAAAAATAACAAAAAGGAATTCTCCCGGCGGGGGTTGAACCCGCGACCGTCGCATAACCATTAACCCTGAGAAGTGAAAGGTATAAGAGCGAAATCTTAACCACTAGACCACGGGAGAAATTCTTTGCTCAAAGAACGAGCAGTGTTGGTTGGGTGGGGTTGTCAGAGTTTTGGTTTATAAAGCGAGGGGTAGCTGAGAGAACAGAAAATTGATTGGTTGGGATTTTGCAAAAGAATTTGGATCCACATTTTTCTTTTTTTTTCTTTTGCATTCCATTGATGACCATCAGAATATTTTGGGCATCAATTTTTATTTGACGAATTGACCCGCATTGTGGGGGTTTTATGGGATTGATGCATTTCACTGTGTGCATGCACGGATCGGGGTAGATTTGAGGGTATTTTGAGTCCTGGTTTGGCGGGAGGTATTGCATTCGATGGAGTCGTCACATCATGAAACCCTGCTCATCAACAATCGCGAATTCTTTGCACTTCATCAAATGCGCAATGAACAGGAATACAGACTGCGATGCTCTGTGGCTCAGTAACTCAAACGGGTTCTTAGTAACTGCAAGATTTCCCGTTGTTCTGCACAACTTACGAGATCACACCTCGCGATTCAATCCCAATGCACGGGGTGCAAAGGCTCAAGACACAAACTGAGAGACGTCTCTTCCGAAACAGAGTTGAACCAAGCCTCCCTCTTTTAATATCGATCCGACCATCTCAATGCGCCTAGCTAGACTCTAAAACGCTCAATGCTGTCATGGCAACGTCAGTGCGGATCCAACGGTTGCGTACCAATACCAGCTCCTTGCGAAGTGAAAGTCGACGAGAAATGAATAGTAACAAGATTAGGCATATTCACTCATTTGGTATCCTCCCGGAAGATATACTCAAAACAGATTCTGACACCATAAACGAGCAGTTGATGAAATGGGAACAGCAAAGTTTAGCTCGCACCCGTTTGCATCAACTATGTAGGTCAGGGCATCAAGCACTGCATTTTTAGTGCGACGATCGTCACTTGCCCTGATCAGTCCAAAAGCCGAGTACCAGATCGCGAAAATCTCCGAGTCTGCGCAAAGGGCTTGCTTTTCAGCACATGCATCAATGCTTTACTTTCGTCATTGGAGGATGGGACGTTACGAGAAACATATAAACCCTAAACGCCCTGGAAATGGACTCACAACCCATCATCCCCAAGTCCTCCTTGATCAAAAACCTTAAAATCTCTTACTGAAAAGATAGCCCATCACTAAAATGCGTACCGCCATCTTTTCCTCACTCCTCACCCTCGCCACACTGGCATTGGCTACTCCCTTCCTCTCACCACCAAACCGCCCATACTCAGGTTCAATGATAAAACGCACCTCCGAATCAAACTCACCCCTGAACATCATAAGAAAAAGAACATGTCCAGCACCAATCTCACCAAACCTCATAACTTCCCCCTCGGTTCCCCCTCCGTACGCAGTCTCAATCTCTTCCTCATCTCCCATAGAACTGGGCTTTACTATTCCCTCCGGCGCCGTCGGTCCTTGGTATGTACTTGCCCTCCCCACAGAGGTAAAAGATGCTAACAGAGTGTATAGTTCAGTAATGATAGATCTCACCGATGTGTCAGTCACTGGTTCAGCTAAAATAAACCTCTACGACCTCGACGGACCCACACCGGGGGCTTTAGTAGGCACTACGGAGTTTGCTGCGGGTTCAAAGGCAACCATCAACTCCTTTGCATGCCGAGAACAGATGTGCTTCCGGATGGAGGTGGCGGACGAAAGTGAGGGGAAGGAGGTAGACTGGGAGGAGCTGGGAGGGGTCGGTGGGGGTTTGAGGTTGGATTATGGTTGCTGATTACGTTTTGATGGAGGATATTGATGGATCTCATTTTGGTACTAGTGGACAGTCTGGAGTCTCAATGTCTAGTATGTGTGGTGAGGGGTTAGTACACCTCGCCGGGCATAGGACAACGGACCGGACGGCAGCGTTGATCGTAATTCTTTTTGGCTTGGTCCTTCATCTCGAAAGTTCCAAGAAGTAGAAACAAATGAACAATATCTGTTTCATGCAAGAATCTTCTCGTTGTTCTCCAAGCGAGCCACTTACCAGGTTTTCTGCCTTGATTTCTCCAACTTTTGAAAAAGTAGCGCGCAGTCATAGATGATGACACCGTCAGAACCTGACATCCCGCCTTCAGCTCCCGTTCATCAGATGCATCAAATCGCTTCTTGGAGTTTCGATATTAGCCTCTCAATTTGATACCCGCACGCCGGTCACATGGCAAATATTCCCGAATCTGACTCCCGCTCAGATCTGCAGGCACAATTCCCATCATGAACACGGAGATGGTAAAAGCATGTTGCTGAAAAGGGCGTTGTAAACATGCCGACATCAAGATCCGAGCAAAAAATGTATTTACATCTTGCAGAGCCAAAACGGAGCATCAAGTGTCGTCGTTGAATGAGGTCGCTTTGGGTAACTGGGCTAATTGTACGCTCCGAAGGGGCGGTTATCTCGCGCGGAATGATACCACTCTCAGTTAGACTGAAACGAGGACCCCGTTTGATGCAACAAGGCCGAATTCCCCAGAACCTGTTCTCAGTAGTGTTTTGTGGGGTAGTTCTACCGAAGCTACCTGCCGAATCTGATATTCTTCTCTATCACCGTCTCTTCCATAGAGCGATACCAGGTTGACGGTTCAACCCGTATTGGCGTGCGGGAACCGTTGGAGTCGTGGAGACGAGTGACGTTGAGGTATTTTACCCGGTTACATACCCGTAACCCCAAGTCATTCCCAATCCGGTAACTCGCTTCAGACTTCCGATGTTCCTGCATCTTGGATCTTGCGTGAGATTTGTTTTACCTGCCGATTCTCATTGCCTGTCCCGGTGTGACAGTAACATCACGTGGGGGATCCGGACACAACGCCGAGAGATCGATGCCATAGTCAGTATATATATCCTTCAAAGTCATGCATCTGATTGAAACCTTTTTTCATCAGTCTGAGCATCCAGTCGATCCCTGTCTCTAATCCGCCCATCATGCTTACCACCTCTCTCTTCGGCCTCGTCGCCACGGCGACCACCGCTCTCGGTGCCTCGCTGCAGCAGGTTCAGAACTGGGGAACCAATCCCACCAGGATCAACATGCACATCTATGTTCCTGACAAACTGGCCGCCAAGCCCCCCATTGTCGTTGCGGTAAGAACATGTCCAAACCCAACTTGCCAGGTGACAGAAGGCTGATATCTTGTTGTTGTCTTGGCATAGCTTCACCCTTGCGGCGGAAATGCTCCGCAGTGGTTCAGCGGCACCCGCCTTCCCTCGTTCGCCGACCAGAACGGTTTCATCCTGATTTACCCCAGCACTCCCAACCAGTCCAACTGCTGGGATGTCCACAATCCTGCTTCCCTCACCCACGGAGCGGGAGGTGATGCTCTCGGCATTGTCAACCAGGTCAACTACACCATCACCAAATACAATGCCGACAGGGATCGCGTTTATGTCATGGGCTTCTCAAGCGGCGGTATGATGACAAACGTCTTGGCGGGTTCTTATCCTGAGGTGTGGGAGGCTGGCGCGGCGTATTCTGGAACCGCCCATGCTTGCTTCGCTGGTATGTATAACTCGGAACTTTTTGATGAGACTTAGCAAAGAACTGACGATAATCGATTATCAGGATCCGGTGGCTCTACCCCCTTCACCGCCAACCAGACTTGCGCTCAGGGCTTGTCCAAGACTCCTCAGCAGTGGGCCTCGTTTGTCTACAACTCTTACCCTGGTTACACTGGCCGTCGTCCCCGCATGCAGATTACCCACGGCAATGCCGACACTCTCGTCCGTCCGGCTTGTGCTCAAGAGGCTTTGAAGCAGTGGTCGCAGATTCATGGTGTGTCATTGAGCAGAACCGTCACCGGAGTCCCCTCTGCCCAGTTCACCCAGCAAATCTACGGCGACGGCACCAAGGTCCAGGGATTCTTTGGAAACGGCGTCGGACACGCTCCCTCGGTCAACGAGCAGCAGCTGCTTAGATGGTTCGGCTTGATCGCCTAAGGTCGATCCAGGTCTTGGCTTTTGGATATCTTGGATGAAAAGGGGAAATATTGGTTGCGGGGGCGGGTGCGATCCGCTGACATGAATCCTTGGAAATCTGGTAGCGGAGAACCCAGCGGCGCAGCCATGCATCGTCTTGTCTGTTTTGGTCAGCACTAAGTTGGGGGGAACGGGGAGAACGATCGGGGATGATGTACATAGTTTCCACAGAATAGGCAAGTTGATTAATCCAAGAGATCAGCTCCATGTCCAGCATTGGCAGAGAAATGTTTGGTGGCGGCGTGCTGTGCAGATGTTGGCCCCGTCCCCCCAGAATCCAGGTTCAGGTTGGGGAATGTTTGATCGATCAAAGGATTCAGCCCAGGTACGTCAACGGTTCACGGGCGTGGATCTCAGAGTCTCCGATTGGTCCAATGTTTTGTTTTGTTTTCTCCATGTTTGTTGTTGGTGGATTTTTTGAGATTCGTATTTTGACAGATGGGATGATATAATACCGTCCCGAGGGAAATCCCCGGGCGGCGTGAGTGTTCTATGCCACCTCGGCCAAGGCGTAGATCATGAATCCAATTACCGAAAAATGCGCGGAGAGACTCGGGTGGAAGAAAGCTGGAAGATGGTGTGTAAAATATCGAATGAATATTTGAACCTTCCAAGTTGAGATTTCTCCAATCTGGGCCGCCTGCAAAGGGCCTTGTAATTTCTGATTGACAGGTGGAAATGAAACTTGAGAGTTTCAGTCGACACTCCTCCCCTGCCTGCCGGCTACTGCCACCCAGTAATTCATGGATAAGGTATCTTTAACGGGCAGGTACAGGTGTCAATTTAGGTGTCAATTCAGGTGTCACAAAGTTCGACATCACTGCCTGTAGAGTAACCTGGGCACCTGCAAAGGCCTGAATTGCCCGGCCTGAGATAAGAAGTGCCAATGTGGGGGTTCACTGCAAGGCATGAAGTCAGGTGAGTCTTCCCCTTCAGCTCGAGTTCAGCAGTGTTCCAGCTGCACTGCAGCCCAAAGGTTGAAATTGGGTCTTGCAGGTTTGAATTTGAGTGTCGGATGACGAGT